GAAGCTATCAAGAATATGTTCAATTTAATATCGTGGAAAATTGAAATGTTATTATTATTTTTTTCAAATGTCATGAAAGTATTAATGAAGATCTTTGCATCTTATGTTGAGCCACGTATGCTATCTGATACTTTATATTAATGGACCCACCAGTGGGGAAATAACGAAGGTTCTGATTAAACTGAAATTCATTGAATGTCTAATTGTCTGAGCAGAAAAGTCTTTTGAAAAAAGCACCCTTCAAATTCTTTCACTGTGGTCCCTTTTCATTCCTTCTTTCTCTCTATATGGGCCCCGCCTCATCTATTAATATTTTTTTCAAGAGAAAATAATGACGAAGGAATGTTACAGAAAAGTTATATCAATTAAAAATTAATTATTATTAAAATTTAAATAAAAAACTAAATGAATTATTATTAATTTAAAATAAATTATTATTAAAATTTAAATGGATATTTATTGATATAAGACTAACTCAGATCAACAAATATTTATTTAAATTTTAACAATAAATAATCATTAATTAATATAAATTTTCTCTAATGACTCTTAATTGATATTTTTCTTATTTTCTATATATATTCCTTCACCAACCTTAAAAGTAAGTTGTTAATATTGTGAGTTTAAATAAATTCGTAACAGGAATGTAAATTCAAAATATAAATTTGGATTGTAAGTTTATAAAAATTTGCCTTTATTAATAAATAACTTTTAAAAATATATGATTAAATAATTAAAATATAAATATGATCGTGATTTAATTTATGTATTTCAAATATAAATTATTAAAATTTAATCCATATACATTCATAAATTATTATATTTAATGTAAAAATTTTAAAACAGGGAAACTTATTTTTGGTGTTTTTAGTTTTTTTCATTAATGTTATTTTTTATTTTTTTAGTTTTATTTTTTATTGAACTAGATTTTACTATTCCTATGAACCAAGTTCTAGATAGTATATACTTAGTTTAATAAGTTTATGAGTGAATTGACACAATTTTATAGGTTAAAAAAGTAAAAATAGTAAACTTGAAGAATTAATTCGTGAGTTTATATAATTGAGTTTTATCTAATTGAATTTTAGAATGAGTTAACAAGGTTTTATAAGTTGAAAATATAGAAAAGATAAATCTAGAGAATCAATTCAAGAGTTTAACGGTGATGATTGAAAGTAATTTCTTGTCATTTCCCTTCAATTTATCCCCCAGATAGGATTTTAATCATATCTTATCTAATTTAAGATTAAATCCTTTAAGGTGGGCAGTACCTTATTTAATTTAGCTGAAAAATAAAAACATCTACCCATTGTCCGTATAATTAAAGGTCAACTTGATGTGTGGCTTGTAATGCATATACTCCTTCTAGTTCAAAATATAAATATTTCCTTTCCATTTTATCTCTTGTATTTATCAACTTAAATTATTGTACATGTAAATTTATGGCATTATAAGTTAGAATTAAGGGTAAGAAAATAAAACAATATATATATATATATATATATTCATGACAATAAAACATTAGGTTAATATATAAGTTGGACTTTGAATGATAAATTTAGGGGCGATTTAAATTCTAAACTTTAATAAGATGCATTATGAACCCTCAATAATTAAAGTTGGGATAACTTCACCCCTATTGTTAACTTTTAACAAATGTTTGTGAAATTCATTTAAAAAAAATTACATTTTAAGCCTTAAAAGTTTGTTAAAAGTTAATGACAAAGATGAAATTACCCTAACTTTAATTATTTAAAATTTAGAATATACTTGTTTAAAAGTTTAAAGTTCAAATCATCTCTAGACATACAGTTTAGGGTCTAAATTGTATATTAATTTTTTTGTATTTTAAAAAATGTACTTTAATCAATAATAATTTAATAGTAACAGAAAAAAAGTATATTATGCATATTATATTAAATTTTAAAAATATTTTAAAAAAGTGTGTAAGTTTTTTAGTTTGAATTGATCGATAAAAATAAAAATTTATAAAATAAAATCAAATACTTTTATGATAAATAAAAAGATAAAGAAAAAAGTGTATGAAGAAGAATTTATTTTAAATCTTTCCCTAACAAAGAATGATAATGTTATTTTTTATTGATATTATTATGAGATTTCATTATGTTAAAGAATATTTTTAATCGAATCTCACCCATGATAAAATTTTACTTATCTTTAGACTAATCCTATCTTTTAATATTTACTCCTATTTAATAGGAGTGTTTTATTTTAAAATAAATATAAAATAATTAATAGATAAAATTTTAAAAAAAGATAATAATTATATATTAAAAGATTAAAAATATTATATTTTAAACTATTAGGAATTATTTATATTTTGGAGTGAAGGAAGTAATGCGCGGAGTCTTAAGAAAAATATGCTTCTTAATATAGATTTTATATGCATTGATATTATTTTGGTGATTATATATGCATTAATATTTTTCTATCAATATCCATCCATTGTACTTTTATTCTTTTCTTCCATTTTCGGTGATTATATTTGAACATCGCACGTAAAATCAACTGTACTACTGGAAATGGTTGTTGGAGGTAATGTCAATCTATTTATTGGGCCAATAGGGGATCATGTCAATCTTAATTTCCCATCTAACACGGAAATTACTAGCAAATTAACTTTAAAATGAAACATTGATTCTGAGGTTAGCATCTGAAAGCAAAATTAGAAAGACAAATTATCGACTACACCTCTTGTTTTTCCCCGTTTGGAAAACATGAATGGGTTGTCAAAAGTTTTTAGAAAAAAGATGTAGTACTGTTTTTTCCTTGAATATAAAGATGAACATACCTTAATGAAACATGTTTAAACTTCTAATAAAAAAGAAACATGCTTAAACTTTAAAAATAAATTAAAAATATATTTTTATTACAACAAAAATATACTTTTGATCTTCTAGGACTCGAATTTGAATTTATAATTTTATAATAAATTTTTTTGTCTTCTATACTTTAGGTAACCACAAAAAAGAAAGAAAGAAAGGAAAAGTCTCTAATAACAATTTTAAATGATAAAAAAACATTTTCATGTGTTAATTTTCAACAAATCATTTTATTTTGAAAATAAAATGAGCCAAAAGGATACTTTATAATTATTAAAATTAACACGTCCATGCTACTGTTTGTAAGCTGTAACTGTTTTGTCAGCATTTAAAATTATTTTGTTAGTGTTTTTTAATTAGATTCAGTATTAGATACTAAAATTAAACTTTATAAAATTAAAGGATTAAATTAAAATCTTATTTGAAATTAAAAAAAATTAAAAGTGCACTGTTTTATGATCAAATAAATAAAAATTAAAGAAATAGTATATGTTTGAGGTATTTTAGTAAGATTTTATGAGAAATTTAGGAGAAATATGCATTTTAAGTATTTTTCCAAAAACATATTAATTAGCCTGGTTTTAGTTAATTGAAGTAGCTCACTTACTGTTGTAGGATTCCAGAGCAAAACCCAACAACTTCCTTTTGTAAGATTAATGTTTTGTATCTCATTGTTGGTTTTCAATTCACGAATAACAGTTTAGTAACCGAGGAAATAGACCCCAAGAGCAAATAAATTAAATCATAGGATTCAGTACATTAACAGCACATCCACCTGAAAGTGACCCCGCTACAACTTCGTACTTTGGTGCTATTAATCAAAGTGTTCAGAAAACAAAAAATTATAAAAAAAAAAATTGTGATGTTTGTTTTTCTAACCAGGCCGGTTATTTTAATCTACCTGCCGAAAATAATGGGTTTGATATGAAGATTATGCAGTGTATCTACGTTAGTCATTAGGTTAAGTCATTTTCTTTAAATTAAGCTAAAAAGTTAATTAAATTCCAAATTAAAAAGAACCATGCAATTTTTTGTTTTTGACAAAATCTGAAACCAATGCGCAAGAGCAAAACCATGGGCATGCAAATTAACAAATATTGGTTGAGAGCAAGGCTATTATATTATAATGCTAAATCAAATCTAAAATCCAAACTTAATAATAGTGTAGATTTTTTTTAATCTTACAGGTAGATCTAATAAATAAAGTTGGTATATAAATCTTCTGAAATTGACATTCACGAATTTGTGCGATTTTTTTTAATATTTTCTTTTCTTTTATTATTTTTAATAAAATATAAAATCTTCCCTTTCATTTTTTTTAAATATGAATTTCATGAAATTTACGGATTCTCAGTTTCAAAAAATCAATTCCTATAAAATTAACACCAAATCCCAAAATTTTAGCAATTGGCTTAAGTATTACTAACTCGTTGTTCAACTGCTCAACCTGTAAGCCCTTAGGAGTTCAAACTTCAAACATATCTTTTTTTTTTTAAAATAATTGCTTTATTATTTCTTTTTTCCAAGTGAATGACTAAATACATTTAATCCAACTTCAATACGACGAACTATGAGACCTACACTTGGCCCTCTTGTCCAGTTTTTTAATCTGTTTCTTCCAAATATCTCATTGCCACCCCAACACTTACCTTCACACCTTTCAGACTCCTTTTCATTCTCCATACTACCAAGTTGCCAAATGTCTCTCAAGTTATATTTTTTAAAAATAAAATAATAAAAAGGGCACACTGAACTTAACCATTAAAAATTTGCTAACTGTTAACAAGCTGTTTTCTTCCTTACTTAACAGCGTGCATGAGACACAGATTTGTTCATGCATTTTGTCATTAAATTAAGAAGATTTGAAGAGGTTATTTGTTCTGCTCATTGTATCTCTAAAACTTGTGTACTTAAAAATGCTGCTAGAAAATTCGAATGGATCTTTAACAAGGTAATGTAGCGGTAATCATGTATCCAAGTCAAGTACAATAGGAAAGTCCTCATACAAATAATAGGATAATTAGGTGCTTAAAAAATTACAGTTGAAAATTTGAAATTGTATTTTCCTGAAAGAGAGAGAGAGAGAGAGAGAGAGAGAGGTGGTGGGAAAAGCGGTTCCTGGTATTGTATTTTAAAGGCCTGGTTTTGTGAAAAGGTTCAATGCATGTAGCATTCATTCCCCTGTGTGAGACAGAGGAGGGGAAATGAAGCTGTTGACGACACCTCTGTTTCTTCCTTTCCCAATATAAAATTTTTCCCTCCCATTCAATTCTTCTCATTCCGCTCCCTCTTTAAACGCTGCTTCCTTTCCTTTCTTTTTTTCCCTGCTCCTGTGGGGTTACTCTTCTCTAATGTTCTTGGTCTTTCTGCTTCACCTTCTCATCATCCTCTTTCCTTTGTTTCTGTACATCCTGCTTGTCTTGCTGTTTCCCCGTTTTGTCAGGTTTTGGTTTTCGGAGCTTGGTTTCTCGTTGTGGTACTCATGTCGGCCATCGTCAATTACAGTGGTATGCCTTCTTGAGTTTTTTGGGTCTCTTGAAGTTTGAATCCGTTGAAAATCGACGGCTTTCGATGTTTGGTGATAGTTCTGGTGCATGCTGCTAAGTTTGGGTTCTCGACGAGTTTCCTTTAGATTTTGTGATTCAGATGAAAAAAGATAGTAAAAAAAATTACATTTCTAATGGAGTTTATCAAATTGGCTTTCCCCACTACATTTCTAATAAATTCAGAAAAGCTAATATCTACGGAAAAAACAGAGATGATATCTATATTTGATTACATGCATATGATTACCCCTTGAGTTTGTCCTTGTAATAAGAATCCGTTGAAAAGAGAAAAACAAATCTACTTCTCTCTGTTTAACTGGGTAAATAAATGCACTGGTTATAAATTATAATGTATCGATTGTTTGAATCTTATTATTATAGGAGGGATAAGTTATGAGATGCTCCCGGTAGAATTTACCATAATGCGGATCCATTTTTGTGTGAGGCCTGACTCTGTGAATGGGTTTTTCAGGAGACGATGACCTCTATCCTGGGGGTTCTTTATATGCTATTGGTTCCAATTTCGATGTGTACTACCCTCCTAGCAAGCGAGCTCGGATCAGTGCCTCTTTTATCTTTGAAAATCTCGAGTCTGAGCAAGATCAAAGGCCTACCATTGAAGTTCTTCCTGACGAGTGCCTATTTGAGATATTCAGACGGCTTCCTACTGGCAAAGAAAGGAGCTTATGCGCTGGTGTATCTAAGAGATGGCTCATGCTCATGAGCAGTATCAGCAAAGCTGAAATCTGCAAGTCTGCTTCCTCTGATATCGAAATGAATCCTGCTGATGAGGATCAAGACAGTGAAGATGATGGCTACCTTACAAAGTGTTTGGAAGGGAGGAAAGCAAATGATGTAAGACTGGCTGCAGCAGTGGTTGGCACTAGTGGCCGTGGTGGACTGGGGAAACTCTCTATCAAAGGAAACAACTCTGTATGTGGGGTCACTAACATGGCCCTCTCGGCCGTTGCTCGTGGCTGCCCTTGTCTCAGATCACTTTCTTTATGGAATGTATCTTCTGTTGGGGATGAGGGCCTGATGGAGATAGCAAAAGGATGCCATATGTTGGAGAAGCTTGATTTATGCCAGACTACTTCTATTAGTAACAAGAGTTTGATTGCCATAGCTGAGGGATGCCCCAATTTGACCACCTTAAATATTGAATCATGTCCAAAGATTGGAAATGAGGGGCTGCAAGCTGTTGCAAAATTCTGCCCCGACTTACGGTGCATCACTATCAAGGATTGCCCTCTTGTTGGGGATCATGGAGTTTCAAGTCTGTTAGCATCAGCTTCCAATCTATCAAAGGTGAAGCTTCAGTCTTTGAACATTACTGACTTTTCTCTGGCTGTCATTGGCCATTATGGAAAGACAATTACAAATTTGGTTCTTAGTGACCTCCGAAATGTCAGTGAAAAGGGATTTTGGGTCATGGGTATTGCTCAGGGTCTGCTGAAATTGATTTCAATTACTATTATTTCCTGTCGAGGGGTAACTGATGCAAGCATTGAAGCCATGGGTACAGGTTGCCACAACCTAAAGCAGATGTGCCTTCGTAAGTGTTACTTTGTATCTGACAATGGGCTAGCAGCATTTGCCAAAACTGCAGGATCTCTTGAGAGCTTGCACTTGGAGGAGTGTAGTAGGATCACCCAGTCTGGGATTATTATTGCCCTTTCAGATCTCAAATCAAAGTTGAAGTCTCTCACGCTTGTGAAGTGCATGGGAATTAAAGATATAGATATGGAAGAATCTATGCTCTCTCCTTGCATGTCTCTTCGATCTCTAACAATAAAAAACTGTCCTGGTTTTGGTAGTGCAAGCCTGGCTATGGTTGGGAAGTTGTGCCCTCAACTTCAGCACATTGATCTCACTGGGCTCTATGGCATAACCGATGCTGGTATTCTCCCTCTTTTGGAGAACTGTGAAGCAGGACTTGTCAAGGTGAACCTTGCTGGCTGTTGGAACTTGACCGATGACATAGTTTCAACTTTGTTAAAGCTACACGGTGGGACGCTTGAACTGCTGAATCTTGATGGCTGCATGAAGATTACTGATGCAAGCTTGGCTGTGATTGCTAATGATTGCCTGCTGTTAAATGATCTGGATTTGTCAAAGTGTGCAATCACTGATTCAGGTGTAGCTGTTCTTTCCAGTGCCAAGCAACTCAGTCTGCGAGTGCTTTCCCTTTCAGGCTGTTATGATATATCAAACAAGAGTGTCCCTTTCCTTAAAAAATTGGGTCGGACCTTGGAGGGGTTGAATCTTCAAAACTGCAATTCAATTGGCAGCAGCAAAATTGAGTTGTTGATGGAGAGTTTGTGGAGATGTGATATTCTGGCTTAATGGATATAGTAACAAGTGCATCTGCTTGGAGCCGGGAAGCATTTACAATTAAAGAAGGCTTTGAAATGCAGGTAGAAACTCAGAAGAACGCAAAGTACATGTATGAATCTCATAATAATCAACTCTGGTGGCGGTCGGCATACTTTTTGGGCTGATATGCATATCTCAGGTGGACTAATTGGCAGTTCGAGGACCTGGTTGTTTTCTAGTGAACTGTGGCAGATCCTTTCTTGACCCCCCTTTTTTCAGGCATTTCTTCCCCTTGAAGTGCTTGTTCCAACCCTTTTGGACTCTCTAGCAAGAGGCTGCACTCTTTTAAGGCTATAGATCTCTGAAAACACAGATACCAAGTCCAGGATGATGCTTTGATTGCCACTTGTGGACAGTGCATTGTTTATGCGAGGTCTTATTTTGGGTTGCTGGATGTTGTATAATGAGTGTTTTAGCTTTTATTTCCATACTTAAGCTTTTAGTCCGTTTGTTCTTAAATCTTGATATCAGTGTAGTCCCTCGAGTCTTTTAAGGGTCTTGCTGCTCCTTAAAGGGATGAGGGGATGTCTTAAAACTTTCCCTAAGTCTGTCTTCTGAGTTTTGACTATGTAGTTGAGTGGGTCAGTTTCTGAGGCTAGGTGTTTTGTATTCAAGGGCTTTAGTGGTGGCAGTTCCTTCACGGCTTCACCTAGTCTGCTACAACAACGACCCTTGTTTTGGGTTTTGTTTTTATCAGGTCCTTGTTTTTGTAGGTTTATCTCTGCAAACCACTCAATTGATCTATAGTGAAACAACTACTCCTTACCCTTATTATTGTAATCTCTTCTTTTTTGTTGTGAATATATATGTGTTTAGGGATATACCCACACAGACAGATAAAGCACTTGCAAGTTCACACACACACACACACACACACACATATTGGTAAAAAGCTCATATACATTTTAGTATCAGAATATTAAGAAAAGGAAAATGGGGTTGAAGATTGATGGAAAAGGAAGGGGTTGAAATTGAGGAACAGAATTGTTGGTGTAGTCCATGGGAATCGAATTACTAAGAGTGATGAGTGTTTCCTTGGTGAGAGCTGGTGGGTAGTACCTAACACCTATGCAGCATCTTTAGAGGAAAGAGCAACAACCCTTGTTACATGTAGCTGCTCTTTTTTGCACACACACTGTACTAAAGGATCTGTTTTGATATAGGAGGATCGAATTTCTTTCCTAATTGGGGCAAGAATCTGCAGCAACAAAATAGGGCAGTGAGTATCGAGAAATTGTGCCATAAGAAAACGCGCGTTGGAGAGAAAGAATGATGGTTAGCTGCACATGCACTTGCACTACTTGCTCAAGAATGGCAAACACTGCGTCTGCTGCTGCCTACTTTCTGGAGTACTGTAAATCTTCAAGTATATCACTCTCTGTGCCAGTCCTATCGACCCCATGGGATTTTGTCTGCTCCCACCATGTGGCTCTTCTGAGAATCTGCTTTCACTTCTTATTTCTCAATTCTCACCCCACTGTTCTCCTTCCCTTAAAATAAGAGAGGAAATCCTTTTAGACTTAAAATTTCATGAAACATTAATTATAGATCCTTTAGACTTCCAATCCTGATTTGCTTGACTAATGGAAGAAATCCTGGTTCAACCTTTGTATGAATCCTGGTTTGGGGAACAAAGATCTTAGAGATAATCATCTCCAACCTCTGGCAGCCCATGAAAAGATTTTATGCTTGTGTTTTTTGTCCCAGCGAAGATGCTAGCCATGTTATTATCGCTCTGATGAGTAATTTCAAAGTAATCTACCCTTTGTACCAATTTTATCACCAAAAAAATGAAGAATACAAATTGATATTATACACCAGAATTTTAGGTAAAACAAGATTTAGCTTATTTCTATACCTTGTGACTTTTCTAAAATGACATTTATATGAGAAATCTTCCACAAACATCGTGCACCTTTCAATTATGAGGAGATCATCAGAAGATTAGTGAGAAATACGTTTATGTCAGTTTTGACTTTTGAATCATACATGAATCTTGTGAAAAATGCTTACATTACCAAATCTAGATATGTAAAATAAGGACAGTCTAATGACTCTCTCTCTCTATATCTTGTGTAAAAGTTTAGGCATGTTGAATTCTAAATTCTTATGTCATGACAAGTCTCATGGTTAAAAAACTACTTATAAAAATATTTACATGTTATTCATTAACAGGATCTTCACCATAATGTCTTTGCAACTATGAATCACAATCTTATGGACTTGACCGACATTCTATACACTCTCTCTCTCTCTCGGGTTGCAAAAATAATAAATAAAAAAGTGTACAATGTTGTGAGGGATAGAAACGGAAGAAACATTGAAATGACGCCACCGCTTACTTTGTTTGTCCTTCTAAACTTACTACAGGAATCTCTCCTCCCCCTTCTCTCCTTCTTTTCTTTAATTACGTTTCTCTGACATGTCATGTCTCTGCACTTTCCCTAACGTACGTACTCAAGTTCATAATTGTTTTGTCTCTGATTTATACTATTTTTATATTAAATTTAAAAACATCTTGAATGGCATATATATTTGCGATGGAATTATAAATTTATCGCAATGTAATATAAATAGAATCCGTCCTTTTCCCAAGGCCACTCCAGTTTATGTTCATATCAGATGAATCAAGTCAACTACTACACCAGACTCTGTTTTGTGTTTGACATGGCAGCTTCCTACAGGCTACAATTACAATGCGGATTGTTTGGGAAGAATTTTATTAAACGACCAAGAATGGGCAATGTTGATTTTAAAAACCTACTGAATTTTAATTATTTAAAAAACTCAAAATTTAAGTTTAGAAGTGCTGAGAATTGTATGTCCTAATATCTGATTAGACTTAAAAAAGAGAGAGCAAATTAAAACATACTTTTTCCGGCATACATCACATAATATATATATATATATATATGGAGAATTGCATTTAAAAATTGTTTTGGAGGCCCAATATACGGAGAAATTTTGAAAATTGTACATTTAATTATTTAAAACTTGTAGTGGGCTTGCTGAGAAATTTTTCTTTTACAAATCTCACGTACAATTCTTTTTATTTAAAATATAAGATTTATGTATTTAATTTTACACTCCCTCTATTCAAAAATATAATATATTTTTTAAGGAGTTAGATGTTTAAAAATATAAAAAAAATTTAATCTCTTGAAATGTAATCATTGCTTTTTTTAAAGTGCCCCTATTAATAATAATTTTATATTTATTGTAGAGTATTTAATAGAGATAGATATGAAAAGATAAGGTTAGTTTAAAAGTAGGTAATTTTTTTATTATGGGGTGAGATTCAGTTAAAAATAACTTACATTTTTGAACAAAGAGAGTATATTATTTTATCCATTCAAATTAAGAAATGAAAACTGTAATGTATTAATAATAATAAAAATTTATCATTGAATAAATAATTTATAAAAAACACACATATTTTGATTTAATTGAAAAGGAACATCTTAAATATATAAAATGAAAATGAAGTATACAATTTTTTTTCTTAATAGGCACACAAAATCAGGGCTTACTATCCTGTTTGATATGAAGCAGTGATTTTCAAATTTGCTGCAGATATAATCCGAATGAATAATTTTGACGGTAATTTTACCCCACATCCATTATAAATAAAAATTAATTTCACAAAATAGGCCGTATTAATTAATATAAAATGCCATCTCCCTTGTTCAGTATTCAATTCCTAAATCCTTGTCGGAACTCACTGCGACTGCCGGCCCCACCGCACCCACATACCTTTCACCACCGCGTAAGGTTTTTTTTTTTTTTTTATTTCAATGTAATTTTGGATTCCCCCTGCTGTGATTCTGCTCTGAAGACTCTAAACTACGTGAGATTATTGAATAAAATTCAGGAGACTCATCCACATATTAAAAATGAGTCAACTAAGTATTTTTGGTTTGTATTATCTTATTAGGTTGTTGTGTGGGGGAAAAAATTCCATTCACCCTAATCAATTTTCATATGACTCAGTATAAGTTGTTTTCTCCTTCTTCTTTCGTTTTGTTCTTTCCGGCAAGAAACTTGGGTGTTTTTCAGTTGAGTGAAGAACCTTTTAACTATTTCCTGTAACCAAGCTTCCAAGGACCAATTTTTTTTTTAATTTCTATTTTACTATTTATAAGAACCTTTTAACTATTCCTCGATTTTTAATAAGTTTAATAAAATTTATTATGCAATTGAATTTATCTAAAATTTTAATAAATTCCGATATTAAGAATGTTAATATTAACATATCAGTTCACAGTACTTGACATTATACTCTATGCCATTCATAAATAGTGTCCGTGTTTCTCATTGACAGTTCATATCTTTCGAGTATTTTGGTTGGGAATTATCTTTTTTAAAATATTCAATAATAAATATCATGATTTTTAATTTTTTTATTCAAATTTAAACTTCATAAATTCTGAATCTTTGAATATATTTTTTTTTCGAAAAAAAAGTCCCAAACATTTCCAAAGTATAATTGATATGATTAGAAACAGTTATCAAATAACAATTTAATTTAAATATCTATGTTACAACTAAATAATTCTTGTCATCTAAACAAATCCGATCACATTGATATCCAACAATCCTACCCAAACTAAATTTGAAATTTGAAATCTTGATGAGGGTCTGTTTCTTGTTCTAATGTTCATTATCTTCCTCTTCTTCGTTTTGACCTTAGAAAGCTCATCACATCGTTCCCTTCCAAGATAAACATGTCGAGTGAAGCTGCAATTGGTGAAGAAATTAACGGGAAAGTTAGCAGTGAAACAATTCGACTTGTGCTTTTGGATGATGGAGGTGGAGAGACGACAATATTTCTACTAGGTTATGATTCAGACAGTGAATTTGAGGGCATTGACGATGTGGTTGAAGAAGCAACAACGGTGAATCCTGCACCCCAAAGTCAATAGAAAGTTTAGAGAAAGTCAGAATCAAAGAGCCTTCATTGTGCTCCATATGTTTGGTGGAGATTTCATCAAATAAAACAAGAGGAGGAGGAGGAGGAGGGGCAGTTCGAATTCTTAAACCTTGTGGTCATGTTTATCATCTCAATTGCATCCTCAAGTGGTTCGACAAGCACTATACCTGTCCTTTGTGTCGCTACAAGATTCCAAGCTAGTTTGTTAATTAATGGGACAAAAATATCATCTTTTTACTTTTTATCTCCAGTTTCAGGTTCAAGATTGTTATTCATCTTTAATTTAATCTACACTAATTTACGCCAACAATATGGAATTTGTTATTGTCACTTTTTTGCTCCTGTTTTGTATAGTGTGTCTTACTAGCAATCATATCAAAGGAATAAAAAAAACAGAGAGAGAGAAAAGTCATACTATTCATGAATTACAAAAAGAATGCGTCTTAACAAGAATATTAAGCTTCAAAGAGCTCGACAACTACTTCTCCTAGCCATTCTCTAGTCGTTCAACCTTTGCCCACATAGGTTCAAGTTCGTCGATCTCAATCTGGATTACCTCATCGGACGTACTTCTTTTAATTTTGTTGATATTTTGTTTACAAGGAGTTGGCTTTTTTTTTTTTTTTGAAACTTTTAACTAATATAAGACTAAAAGCATTATTCAAGCATGCTTGAAGTCATCTGAAAGGCTGACTATGCTTTCATGTCTGAATGTCTCTTCTCTCCAAGTATGGCTTGAAAAACTATGGTATATCATGTTCACTCTAATTGTTTAGCATCCACATGTACTTGCAGGTGAGTGTTCTCTAGTTTTCAGTATAGGTTTCTTTCTGGTAACTAAAAA